CAAAGAAAAACATGGAGTCCAAAAACATTCAGTGGTTTGCTGCCCAAGCGCTTATTTATCAAAGGAAAGAAAGAACAAGGTTTAGAAGACTCAAATAATGTTCTGAGCCACTATCTAGAGATTATGCTCATAGGGTGCACAGTGGGATTCCCCCCTCCCCCCAGCAGCCAATTTCCACACTACTCCTTTTTGTTGTATTAGCTTTTCTTACCTAACCAATTTTTTTTGTTTTGTTTGGGAGAGCCTTTCTGCTAATGGATGGATGGACAGATGGACAGACAGATGGACAGGCACAGGGCTGAGTCCCTTTACATTATTTCTTTCCAAGATTCCATTGTGCCGGAGACAGTAAAAAAAAGAAGACTATTAAACTGTTCAGAGTTTAACTGAGTGCAATTTGTTTGCAATTAAAGTTATTATTTCAGGCATTTATGGATTGCTGAATAAAGCTCTTGGAAATATTTTTTCAAGGCACTGCTGCCGAACACCTTGTATCCTGCCTCTGCTAATCTAGGAGTGGAAAAGGTAAAAAGATCTTTTTTGTAGCGTTATTCCTTCTGCAAAAATGGCAGGTTTTTAAGGGGATGTTTGTCAGTTTCCCAAGTCTTTAAGAGATTTTCCCTGCATGTACAATAATGGGAAAAATACCTTTCCTCTCCTCACCCCTTTTATTTGCTTATTTAAACATTTTTGGAGGTTTATAGCTTAAGGCAGTGGTGGCGAACCTATGGCACGCATGCCACAGAGCCCTTTCTGTGGGCACGCGCGCCGTCGCCCCAGTCCTAGGCCTTCAGCTGGGTTTTATAAAACCTTTTCACTTTAGGCCTCTGCCACCATGTGCAAAAAAAAAAAGGTTCAATCAGTCAATTTCAACTTCTCGCGGGGGAAAAAAAGATCTTGCAAAGTTGGAATTGATTGATTGAACTTTTTAGTCTCACCCAGTCTGCCGTTACCACCGCAGCCATGCCCACCCAATGGGCCACACCCACCCAACACTCAACGGGCACTCAACGATGCATAAGTGGGTTTTGGGTTGCAGTTTGGGCACTCAGTCTCTAAAAGGTTCGCCATCACTGGCTTAAGGCCTAGGAAGTATTGTTGTAGCATGAAATATGGAGATACTTCTTGCTGCTCTAGACTTACTGAAAAAATAGTTACGCCTCCATGAGTTAAGTACTTATGATGGGGATAGGGCAGTGGTGGGATTCAAATATGTGAACAACCGGTTCTCTGTGTGGATGCCACTTCCGGAAGTCCATTCTGGGCCTGGGCAACAAAAAAATTAGCTACCGGTCTGTCGAAGTGGTGCGAACTGGCTGAATCCCACCACTAGGATAAGGGTGGAAATGACAGAGGTAACCATTACTAATTATGGTGTGGAAAAACAGGATGAAGTGAAATTCCTTCTTTCTCTTGCATAATACTATAAATTTTTAATAGTATATTTACTATTTGTTTATATTGTAGATGATCTTCTCTCAGTTTATCCTCATAACAATCCTATGATATTCATTAATCTCAGAGATAACACTAGGATTAAATAATTGAGCGAACTTCATGGCTAATTAGAAATCTGAACCTGGATTTTCCTAATCTTAGTTTAGAAATAATAATAATAATAATAATAATAATAATAATAATAATAATAATAATAATAATAATAATAATAATAATAATAATAATAATAATAATAATAATAATAATAATAATGATAATAATGATGATGATGATGATGATGATGATGATGATGATGATGATGATGATGATGATGATGATGATGATGATGATGTTGGAAGGGACCTTGGAGGTCATCTAGTCCAACCCCCTGCTCAGGCAGGAAACCCTATACCATTTCAGACAAACCACTCAACTTCATTTGTTATCCAGGTTGTATGAAAATCTAGGTCATTTAATGACTAGGAATCATTGATGGTTAGGATACTAAACAAAAAAAAGAAAAACTTTTTCACAGCTTCACAGTTAACTATGGAATCTGCTTTCAAAAGATCTAGTAATGGAGATTACTTTAAACCTTTATACAAAATCATGAGGGTCACTAATTAGGTTACTAATGGCTACATTTTTTTTGCAATATATCTTCCTTGTTCCTTCCCCGTATCATGGTCAGCCCATCTCTTAATACCAGTTTTGGGAATATGAATATTGCATTCATGTTCTTCTTAGAGACTTCCGTAATTACTACTATAAAAAGAGAATGCTGGACTAGGAAGGTCCTTAGACTGATTCATTATGGTTCTTTTTAGGTTATCATATTTGATAAAGCTAGATAAATATATCTAAATTTCATGAGGATTTAATGTGGGACTTTCTATTGCTAGCAAGCATCATGGGTACATCTATTGAGATTTCTAATTTCTGAACAGAGAATTTCAAAAGCAACTTTTTGTTTACAGTATAATATTAAACCGTACACATAAGCAACACATAATTCACAACACTGTTCCAAAACTTCTACTGTAAACAATTAACATCAATAGGGCCAAAATTAGAGGAAACTAGAGAAACAGAACTCATATACATATCCCTTCAAGTGCCTCAGATTCAGCAGGGGAGTTTATAACATGATCAGATTAATAGCTGGCATAAATCAACTGCTCACCAAAATTAATGAGGTTTTTAACACAGCCAGCATTTCAAGACTACATTAGGCAATAAAAAGCACACGTGTGTTGTCACAATGCAAGAAAAATGAGGTGACCTGGGGGGAAAATGGAAGGGGGGGTGTCATGAATCAACCATGCTGTCAAAACAGCATTGAAAGAAGTACTACAAGTGGAAAATGCACACTTGGGATTCCTCTTTCTGCTGCTTTGTGGTGTATTAACTACAAACCATCCTTTTTCTTAGACTTGTCTTCATTTTAATATAATGAAATCTCATTTGATCGGATCTTAATGGAAAAGACTTTACATGAAGCAGAGCAACAAAGATGATTAGGGGACTGGAGGCTAAAACATATAAGGAACGGTTGCTGGAATTGGGTATGTCTAGTTTAATGAAGAGAAGGACGAGGGGGGACATGATAGCAATGTTCCAATATTTCAGGGGCTGCCACAAAGAAGAGGGAGTCAGGCTATTCTCCAAAGCGCCTGAAGGCAGGACAAGAAGCAACGGGTGGAAACTAACCAAAGAGAGAAGCAACCTAGAACTAAGGAGAAACTTCCTGACAGTTAGAACAATTAACCAATGGAACTACCTGCCTCCAGAAGCGGTGAATGCGCCAACACTGGAAGTTTTTAAGAAGAAACTGGACAGCCATTTGTCCGAAATGGTATAGGGTTTCCTGCCTGAGCAGGAGGTTGGACTAGATGATCTCCAAGGTCCCTTCCAACTTTATCATTATTATTATTATTATAAAGCAAATCTCCACTGTGATTTATACTACTTGCATAAAAAAGTAATTACCCGGATGATACAAATATGTCATTTTCATTTTCATTGATATAATATAAACATTATGCAAATGTCAGAAATGAATGTAAATTTATTTATGTAAAATTTACATGATGTCATCAGACAAATGATATAAGTCCAGTGATAACCTACTCTGGTTCTTCCTACATTATATTCAATCAGTCTATTAAAATGAGGTTTTGCTGAAATAAAATAAAACACACTTCAGGCATGGAACCATGTTGACCTATTAAAATACAACTGCCAATTCAAATTCTCTAACAAATGTTCTAATTGTATCCTGGAGCTCAATGGTGATGGTGGTGTGTGAAAATGGGACATACCTGGTTGCTGCTGCCTCTTTGTCCCCAGCCCCACCCACCGCCACCGCCGAATGGCCCGAATACCACCACTGCTGAATGGTCCATGGTGGCAAGGGATATGAAAATGGGAAGCCCCCAGCCACTGCCGCTGTTCTGCCCACCCGCTCACTCACCCCCGCAGCTCTCCCTCCAGCCACCTGCAGTGAGTTGTCCCTGCAGCAAATTGGCTGTGTTAAGTTATCCAGAGGCAATCTGGTGACAGTGAGTTGGCAGAGGTGACTTGGTAGTGGTGAGCTGGCCACACCGAGTAGTCCTAGACCCCTTTGACTGCTTGGTCTTTAATACCTAGTAATATAATGCTACCTTTCAACACTGGGTATCCTATTAAATTATTGTAATTATATTTATGAATTGCAGCTGGGTTCACATACTGTACTGAGCCTTAATATGGTTTGTTTGATTTGGCATGTTTTGCAAACCTAGACAGAGTATTTCTAAATGATAGCTGATGGCTATTTGTTGTTCTTCTTGTTGGTATTTGTTGTTCTTCTTGTTGGTATAATCATCAACAAATGTATTTGCCACCCATCTTGTGGTACAAGGTAACTCTTGTTTGATGGTTAATGGTACAGGGTATTGTTTAACCCTGCCAATTAAGGTTTAGACCACAAAGACTGGATAAGCAACCAACGTCTTACCAAAATATGTGAATTAAATTATACCTTTATAGTATCAAGCTTTTAAAATTACAACTGGACATAGCAGCCAGTGTTGCAAAAGTATTAGTTGTGAACAAAGTATTAATTTGTCTAGCTGTAGTATGTTTGGTAAAATAGCTTCTCTTGAACCCATGGCCCTGAGCAGTTGTATTAGTATTATGGGAAATAGTATAATAATGTTATGAGAAACATCCTTGGTATACCTATGCTCTCTTTCTCTCTTCCTTTTGCTAAAGTGAACTCAGCTGTGAACTTGCTAAACATGGATTTCTGCATAGGTTACTTAATTCACAGCTTTGTATTATCTCTTTGTCCTCAAAATCATCAGTGCTTTGTCCAACATTTGACTTTAAGACATAATCACGAATATTTTTTTGTGTCAAATAGTCAAGCATCTGATGAAAAGGCTTGTAATAAAAGGATATTCAAAGGAAAGAACAAGCTTTCATTGGTTGCTTTATTCCTTCTCCTTCTCCAGGCCCTGATGTCTCATGAGTCCAAGGGAGCAATAATCAGAAAGAAATAAAAAAGAGTAAATTCTTACCACAAACTGGTTGATGTCTCTCTCAAGTCCCATGTTGGGGAGATCTGGCATCATATGTGCTACCACCTTGAACCCAGCATCTTTGGCTAAGTGGAACGATTCACACACAGCCTTTACTGTATGGCCCCTGGAGTAAGGAAATTGTTGAGAAACTTACATATACGGTACCTATTCAAAAATTATGTTCCCCATGATGAAAACCTCTTGAGTAAGCATTTTAAAGTATCTGTATCCAAAACCCTTTACCTCCTAAATATTATGAAAACTAATAAAATCTATAAATAACATTTTAAAAAATCAACATAACCACAAAATTAATAAGCATGGCAATAAAAAAGGATGGAGAAAGGTCTGAAAACTATGTTCTAGACAAAATAACTCTAAACATGTGGACCATATTGGTTAAAGTCTTTATGTCCCATTATCAAAAAAGAAGTCATTCAAATGATAATAATCATATAAAAATTAATTGCTACAATTCTGGTATAGTTTTTTTTCCTTCTAGTGTCACACAATTTTTTTTAGACAAACCCTGTACCCATAATTTTTGATTCCAACAGATTTCAAATACTGAAGCTACAATCAAGAAGAACATGTGTATCATTAATATAAACAAGCCTGTCACTCTCAACAAAAGTTAAAGACAGAACCATGTTCAAATGAAACATTGATGGAATGTATATTTAATAACATTCTTTCTACAAACCTCATTTTCTACCCATATTCTATTCCACGTTGCTATATCTGTTAATTTTTCTAACTTCAACTGAGTTAATGTAGGAAAAATCAGACAGGATATTATATTTATTTGAATACGGAAGGTCTACCTTCCATAGTGTATTATCCTCTATGGTCAAGTATTGATATATCTGTGAAAGACAACAGGACCTTTAAAAGCATACAACTACTGAGATAAGCATGAAAATATCTTCACCTTCTTTGCAGCTGAAAGAACTCCTTGGGGGAAGGGTAATAAATACATATGAGAGTTGGGATTATTGGGGCAAGAATGCTAAATACTCATAAACAAATCCACAATATTAGGAGGCAAATTATTGGATAGGAAAATAAAGCATTCTGTTGGCAGAAATGATATGCAGTTCTGTTGATGAAGCATTGTGCTTAATCCAATTAATCGTGATGATATGGAACTGCATATCAGTTCTGCCAACAGAATTTATTCTCCCTTTGGCCTGCAGAATTATAGAATATTGTATAGAATCTTCTAAAATGCATCTAGGTTGTTCATGATGGGGAAAACAAATGAAGGAGATATGCATTCTGCATAGGCAGAAACTCATGAGCACTATGCTGGATGATTTATTGCAATCACGAATTTCAAGAGTTTTAAATGAAGACTATGAATCTCTCATTCTGTTCCTTCCCAAATGTTTTATTAATTCCCTTTACTTTGTAGGATCTTCCTTTATATATTTTATATACATTGTTTACAATATTGCCACACAATAACATTTCAAAAATTATACTTCTATCTCTATTTCTATCGTAAGTAAAGAACTATCTCATCCTGCTAAGACAAGACCCTGCTACTTGTGCCAGCAGAGAAGGCTTGTTGCAGATTTCCGTCAGTCAAGAAACTCCGACTGGCAGGATCCAGAAGAGCCTTCTCTGCTGTACTGCCGGCCTTCTGGAACATCCTGCTCCTCCTTGTGTATTGAGGTTTGCTCTCACCCTATCCTTCTGCAAGGGCCTGAAGCCCTGACTCTACTGGTTGATCTGGGGACCCAATATGGGAATACTACATTGGAGATAGCTACTGGACTAATTAGCTGACCCTCCACCTCCCCTCTGCACTTTCTGCTTCCCCTCTTCCTGTCTTTTAATTTATATTATTGTACTTTCCTTATTTGTTTTTATTGTTCAATTGCTTTGCTATTGTTATGTTTATATATTTTTTAATTATTTTTCCCTTTTACCATTTTACTATTGTCAGTCACCCGGAATAGCTCCATGGTGAGATGGGCAGCAAATAAATTTAACAAATAAATGTATATATGTATAAATGTATCTAAATGGGTGTGTTTTTAGAACAGGCCTGTTATTTAATTTGATTTTAAAACAGAAACTATTTATTTATCGTGGTTTTTAGTATCGCCTGTTCACCGCCCTGAGTCCCGCAAGGGAGATAGGGCGGTATATAAATTTAATAAATAAATAAATAAATATTTTAGATGCCTAGAGTGATGAGAAAAGAGTAGTGAGCCATTTAGACTGTTATTTACATTGTGAACTAAACTTTATCTAAGCCCTATTAATACATAAAGAGATTCTGATTAAACAATAAGTATCAATGTTTAACCAAATAATGTATGGTATCATAACTTTATTGAACGCACTAAGCAGAAATTCACTGTGTTTTATTTTCTTCAAGTATAACATTTCTTATTTATACCAAAAATACAATTTGAAGGGGGTTCATCTGTCTATAGAGCATTGTTCTAATAATAGTCTAATAAATAATCTAAGTAGTCTTTGAAATAATTGAGGTGGGTCACAATGTTTCTTCTAGAGAGAAGTGATTTCTTCCTTCTTCTTTCATAAAGTCTACTCTTGTTCAGTGTGAAAACTCCACCAGGCAATGCAAGAGTAGCCTGAAGATCCTTTGCTGTGATAATAGGTTTCTGTGATCTCCTGGAGAATTGTATGCCTTGCTTTGGAGATGATTTTTTTTTTATTGGACAACCACTCTTGGAAAGATTAACAAAGGGTTGCCTTGAATTGATAGAACTCAGTCTGTAGCAATGGTTGTGTAGCTCCTTCAGCCCTTTTGTGATATCTGTAGAAAACTGGTAAGTGAATGACCTGTATCATTAAGAACAACTCCCACAGTGGAGTTGTGTATGTGTATGTGTATATGTGTGATCTCAGGGGTGGGCCCCCAAGCTTACGCTAGATTGTTATCTCATTGAGTGGAAGTCAACTTCATTCCCTGAAGTCAACTTCATTCCCTAAAAAAACCTGATAGTTCAAGGGCTTCATTATTCTATTTCCAACAAAGACAGTGGATGTTACTTCAAGGTGTTTAATAGATATGATGCAGTGCACAATTTTGGTTGTTGTTGATTTAAGCAGAATCTTTTTCTTTTAAAAATAATGTGATTATGCTCTGGTTACATAATAAGTCAAAGAATTATTACAAACAGTTCTAAAGAGTTCACAAATGTTATCTTTTCTTCCTTGATCTGCATTTGATCCTTCCATTAGAATACTGTATGATGATTAAACAGCAGTCTTAACGAAGAGGAACAGAGTAAATTGCTTCATAAATTAAAAACAAATTATCGTTGGAAAAATCCAAGCTGTAGTCAAGCTGATTTCAAGTTTAGAGGAAAATTAACTGAGGCAATCTTGTCTAAGTACAAGTACACAAGGGCACCATCCAACCTGACTCCCAGGTATACAGAGAAACATGTTAAGATTTTCTCTTGAATACATTTTATGAGACAGAGAAAAAAATAACTTAGAGCAATAGGTTAACATTACAATCCTAGACAGCTCCCAAAAGAAGTGGGGTCCTAACGGATTATTTTATTGGTTAAGATGACTTAAGATATGTGTATATTTTCTACTGCAGTTGTGCTGATAGAAATTATAATCTTGTTCCTTTATTTTAGCAATATCTCACTAAATCTCTAAAGACTGAACCAAAACCTAATTGTAACAGACTGGATTCAGAAATGGGCATGCAATCACTCACTCCATTTTTATTAATACAATTATTCTAATTAATATACAGATCCTGCTCCCTCCATTGAATCCTTTACTGAACATTCCATTGGTTCTCATGTATTTTACTTAATTTTCCTTAACTGCTCATTTTCCTTAACTGCTCTTGTTGCATTTAGCAATCAATATTGGACTCAGTATTTGTGCTAATCAAATCAAGTCTATTCTCTTTATCATACGCTTTCACTAAATCAGCAAATGCGCAAAAAAACTTTCTCAAATTCATACCCTTGTTCATTTCTACTTTATTTATTTTATTTATATATATATATTTATGCCACCTTTATTATTTGTATAGAAAAGTCAAGTCATACTTAATATTCTTTCCTCCTTCTATTTTCTCTATCAGCCTGTGAGGTGAGTTGGGCTGAAGGAGAGAGTGATTGGTCCAAAGTTACCCAGCCTACTTTCATGCCTAAGGCGGGACTAAGCAAAAAATCTGATCTGCACATTCGTTACCTGGCTTACAGCTGTTTGCACTTTGCTAAATTGTCATTTCCTGTATTATTTCAGTCAGTATTCTGCCACACTTTTCCAGATATGCTTGATAATCTACCCCACCCCCACCCCCAGGATATTTCTGCATTCAATTGTTACCTTCCCTGTTTTTTTACATTGGAATAATAATGACATCCTTACAATATTGAAATGTTACCACAGTTAGTCCATACCTAACTATGGTAACATTTCAATATTCCCACAGCATTAATGCTTCTCTTTCATTACTTTTTGGAGGCAAAACTAATGTTTTTTTGCATTTCAACTGCACTCTGATATATTGCTATCACTTCCAGGCAGTTCTGTAAAATATATTCATTACAGCATTTTTTTTAGTTCACTTTTATCGCAAATAATTTGTTTTATTTTATTTTATTCATTTTTATTCCTAATTCTATTAGATCTTCTGGAGGTTCCAAAGACCACAAGGTAAGTCAAGTTAATTCAGGTCAGGAATGAATGCACTGCAGAAGCCCCTGAAACTGTATTTTATTGTTGTTGGATATAATAGTAGAATTTTGAAAGCCTGACAGAGTCAGTCAGTCAGTCAGTTAGTCCGTCCGTCCAACAGTCAGTCATTTATATTTTGCATTTCTTAGCCTCCCATCTTTGGGCAGTCTTCCTCTTACTCCTCTCTAAATTATACAAGATGGAGTTATTTTGATTCTCTTTCTCATGCTCCCTCCTTCCCCAAGGCTAAGCAGACAATTACTTTCTCCTTTATTATCCCTTAATGGTACTGCTAATGGTTCTTACATTCCTGTCGCCAACATTATCTCTGCAATCATCTATAGGCTCCTTGCTTAAGTCCATTTTACTCAGCCAGAAAACAATTCCACGCCAGTGAATTTTTTAGTATTGCTGTCTTTGAGCCTTTTCCCTTTTAATAGAAAACTGACCTACCTAAGAAATGTTTATGATTCCACATCGCAAGGAAGAAAGTGAAAAGTGAAGGTGAAACATTTTAAAAGTGAAAAGTTAGTACCAGTTAAGAATGCTTGAATGGACCTCTTCAAGGCTAATTCACATACTACATTGTTATATTCTTAAATGCTTACAGATATGAATGCAAAATGAGATGATAAAAGTATGAAGTTACAGATAATGGTAACTGGAATGTAGCAATTGGCAGCCACTTTTTTGTTGAATATTCAGCATCGAATTTTGTTTCTGCAAGTACCAGCTAGGGTAAATGCATATACAATACAGACATTTGGCATTATATATTAATATACATATATTTACATAAATTAAAAATAAAAGATATATCTATATCAGATTTATTGAAAATATCTGTAATAAAACTCACATTTCTACAATATAACCCTCATATTTCTGCTATCATGTGTGTAAACATTATATGCAAGCTGGTGCATTTTTGTTATTTATTTTGCTTGCACACTGCCTCTTTCCAAAGGCTCTAGGAGGCTAACAATGTCACCATATAAAATAATAGTCCCAGAAAACCCTCAATACATATAAAAATAAAACGATCAAGAAAAATAAAACCCCTAAAATACAAATGCCATACACCCATAATCCTGCCTTCCAATTACAACACACACTCCTCCCATGTACGGTAGAATACGTAGGTATGTCAGAGTTTTCCTAAAGCCAAAGAAGGACTAAGTTGAATAAATCTCTGCCCAAAGGGAATTCCGAAAAGCAGGGCAACATTTGATCAAGCACACTTTCTTGGGTACAGAGTGTAAAGAAATTGCTGTTGATTTCTTCACTCAATTTCCAAGTCTTTCCTGCATCCAAAGAGAGCATCTGACACATGGAAAGCCAATCTTTTGTGGTTTACTAAAATAATTTGCCCATAAAATCTCTTGTGAGAGCTTTAGTCCTGAAATTTGGGCAAATGTGCAGTAGAATTGGTTTATTTTAGAATTACTTACGATGACTAAGACTTTCTACAATCATAGTGTGGTATAAATCTGAACTTCTTTCAACTTTGGATCCCAGGCCCTAATATCCATAAGCCTATCAAGTCCAGGAAAGTGACTCATCGCAAAGGTAAACTTTGATGTGAGTACTTTCTTAAACATACTGTATAGTCAATTCTACATATGAACCCCTTAAATCTGGTTCATCCCAAAATTATCAAATCAGCATAATTCTTTTGCATTAACTTGGATAAAAAGCAGCAAATACTTTGTTTACTACTATGATTTATTTAAATTTATTGGTCACCCAATTCCAGTGGACCAGTTGTACTCAGCTGTACTTTTGTTGTACATATGAGACAATTTCACAAATATAGAAAGGGGACAGGAAAGTTAACATATTGCCAGTATTAAAAATACTGCTGGATTAAGGCTACAGACTGATATAGACTTGAATTCTGCTCTCAGAATGTCTAATTCTGTTAATATCTAGCAAGCTGGAGCACGTCTCATCATTTAAGCATTTAAGTGAACTTCTCTGGAGTCAGAAGGGTAAGCAGGGCTGAGCTTGGTTAGTATTTACATGAGAGACCTCCAGGAATACCAGGGCTGTCAATTAGACCAGGATAAAACATTCCAGAAGCAAGCAATGACAAACCATTTATAGTCCACTGCCAAGAAAACCTCATGGATATTTGAAGTACCAGGACTTGAATTCATGTGGAAAGAAAATAATTGGTATGCAAGAGGACATAATCTCTGGCCTAGTGCTGCCAAATAGCACAAATGACTTGTAAACTACTTGCCGATATTCTTTTTTTTCTTTTTCCTTTTTTGTCTATTGCCAATTAGATTTGCTCTCTGGCCAAAAAATTATCATTATAAGGGAGCAGAGAAGGTTTTTTTCTCCTTGCCCATTTATTTCAAACCATGGTAAGCCTTGATGACTTTCATATATGCCAAGCCATAGAGTAGACACCAAACTAAGAAGCCCTAAATGTGTTCCTGCTGTGAAGACGTTGCAACAATTTGACCATTTTGGCTGCATCTTATATATTAAAACCCAACTCTGCAAGATGGTTTTTAAAGTGGAGTAACTCAAGAAGCAATTAGAAGCACTTCAGTTACCTTAATTTGTGAGATGAATTATAATAGAACAGTGGTTCTCAAATGGGGTCGGGACCCCATTTGGGGTCGATCGACCATTTCACGGGGGTCGCCAAGCAAGGCTGTCTGCCATTTTTTTTGTCCGCCATTTTTTCCCCCTTTTCCGGCGGGTGCCTTACCTCCCTTGGGCTGGGTCAGCTGGTGGTCGGCCTGCTCTGTCTCTGCCGCTTGCCAGCTACGCCTCGGCCGGCGCAGGGGGCAGAACCACACATGCACAGCACTCCCAGGCAGGGAAAGTCCTCGACTTATGACCGATTGGGTAGTCCTCGACTTACGACCGGTTGGGTAGTCCTCGACTTACGACCGGTTTAGTCCTCGACTTACGACTGGTTTAGTCCTCAACTTACGACCGGTTGGGGTCGCGGCATTAAAAAGGTTGAGAACCACTGTAATAGAATAACAGAGTTGGACGGGACCTTGAAGGTCTTCTAGTCCAACCCCCCGCTCAGGCAGGAAGTCCTATACCATTTCAGACAAATGGTTGTCCAATTTTATAGTTCACAGATTACAGTTTTATGAGTTGATGCTCACACATGATGGCTGTGAATGGCATGGCTTTTTACAAATTACTTTGTTTACCACTTGCTTCCCCATCATTCCTTTCACTGCCCCAAGATAATACTTACCATCTCAATTTAAGGGCTAGGCACATTCCACATATAACACTGAGCTCCAAGCAATCACCATTTTTCACAGTCTGTCAGATATATGAATCTCGAATACCTTCTTAGAAGTAAAGGTAAGGGTAAGGTGAGTTATATTTTGTGGTGCAGTACACTGACTTCCCATTTATTTTAAATTTTAAAAAGAATAGCGAAAATTAAAGCAGTCTGGTGGTCAAGAGAATCTGATAGGCATGCTTGCCTATCCTGCCTACATAATGCAAAATTGCAGTCAGGAATCTTGGAAGCAGGAAACACTGAAAATATAGGCATCATTCCATGGAAGGTTCTGTCAGAGTCTCATTTCTAAATTTGTATAATTTCCCTCTAAAAACTTCTAACTCCTTTTTTCCCTTTGGCCCCCAGGTCTTACCTGTTAGTATCTCTGGCCACATCTTCATAAATGCTTTGTACTCCAATTTCCAGCCTTGTGCATCCATAAGACAACATGTCACTCAAATGCCGTTTTAGGCAATAATCTGGCCTGGTCTCTATAGTAATCCCAATGCACTTTGTAAGGCTTCGCTCAGAATACCTGTAGAAAGGAGTAGTAGGGAAAGTGAAGTGAAAAAGAGTTGCAAATGAGATGGGTTAAATTTAGCAAAGATCATTCATGGTATGGTCTACAGGTTACATCTATCTAAGCCAGCTTACTTCATTACAATTACTGGCTTCAGAGAATATCTTAGCAAATCATTTTATGACACTCATGACAGCTATGACAATGGTGCATTCAGTCCCTAAATCTCTGTAGTCTACTACTGAAATATTCTGTAAACTAGGATCTTTTGCTAAAGGATAGTCTGGAGCTGATCTCACTTGTGCTTATTCACTGCACTGAAAAACTATGCTGCCTCATGTAATGCCTTTGGAGAAAAAGGACATTTACTTGAATGTTTCTCTTTTCAGGACACTATTTGCTTCCGACATGTTTCAACATGAACTAGTATAAAGAAGTGTTAATTCTACTTCCAGTATTAGGAAAGAAAGCAGTCTTTTTCCTTGTATGAAAAGAAGCAGAGTACAACTTCTGCTTCTGGTATTCACAAATGCAAGATTTTTTTCACAACTCTGTGATAGACAAACCAAAATGTGAACTGTTTTGAAAATGTTCCTGAAGCTCACCAAAGACTAGTCCACTATGCTTCAAAGAACTGTGCCTTGACTTCAGTGCATGCGTGTGCATATTGTCTTAGTATTTAATAGGACTGATTTACAGATACACAGATATTTACAGATATACTGATGAGCCACCTCATTCAAGCCTAGAACAAATTAAGAACTGGCCACCCCCAAATGAAAACTTGTGGGTCTCAGTAGTTAAATGTTTTCAGATTGCATGTTATGGAAGTGCTGATCTGAAATATCTCAATCAGAAAAAGCAATCAATAGTAGTGTGTATTTCTAAACATCCTTTATTTTTCAGTTAAAATTATCATTATTTTACACTACCTTTTGGAAGCAGTATTGCTTTATTAAACATGTCCTTTTGCTGTTGTTTCTCTCTAGTTTGAGAATTGTGCCACAGACTACTATGTGGCAAGGTATCAATAAAGGCCCTGGAAAAGATATTCAGATGCTGTGGTATGTCTGCCCTTACAAAGATCACAACTGTGCAGGCAGTGCTTTTTCCTGTGATGAAAATGCGAAAGTTTGAGTTTAAACACGAAGTATAGAAATATAGAAAGAGCAATGAATCTCTGAACTCGAGAATACAATAACAATTAAAACAAATAAATGGATCACAGAGCAATAAATCAGAGTTCTTATTTGAGATGCAAATGATCTGGTTCTATTATATATTGGACACAGTATATGAAGTCCATAATGCTGAGAAAGGTGGAAGGAAATAGAAGAAGTAGTTGACCAGCAGCAAGGCCAATATGGATAGGTGGTGGTGGTAGTGATAGGTACTTAGTTAGAGGACCTAAAAAACCAGATTGGCAACAGATGGTCCTCAAGAAGATCTATCTAAGAACTGAGAATGGTATAATGATACATGATCAAGCAATCGATCAATTCCAGCGGATACATTTTGCATTGTATTTTATTACTTTCATTGGATTTTAATCCCTTAACCAATTTGAATCCGCCTTCAGAAGAAAAAATAGTACTGTTCATCAGCCTTTCCCAAGTTACTGAACTGGATGCTTGCTTCACAGCTTCAGAAGGAGTCCATTGCTGATATCTTCTGGAAGCAAAATCTAGCTCCTATTGGAGAAAATATAATTATACTCTCTAGAGAGCCCTCAGAAAACCCTCATGCTCTGGTCTGCCAACTTCCTCATAACTGCTGTGAAGCTTTTACTTTCAGCCAGATCCCACGCTGCAAGGAAAAAGTAGTTTTCAGAAGCCTGTTTTCAATGAATGAATGGTGGAACACAAATTTTTCGCTGATGACTAATATATAGTGCACTGTTGCAAAACACAACTTGGCAAATAAAATCAAAGGTAATATATCTTGATTCTAAAGTAATCATTCTACTTTGAAGTTGTAGAAAAACCATTTTAAAGAGGAAGAACACAATTAAATATAAAAAGAGATAGAAACTATGTTATTAACTATATTTCCTACTTACAGTCAGGGAATCATTTGCTCACTTCTAAAACGCTGCATTGCAGTAGCTACAGTTATTTGTCATAGCCATACTATGCAGCAAGTTAAATCTAGAAGTTAACTTATAGAAATGTATTTCTTGAAGTGTTCAAATACTACATCTAGATTAGATTGCAATATAACTTGGCATCATATTCATTCTGTAGTAATGGCAACATATATAGCAATGTATAGATTAATAACCACTATATCCTATTAAGTCCAGAAAAGTAATAGCTACTTTGAAGAAAATGACGGAGCTCATTAGAAGGTTCACAATGGAGGCAGGTCACCAGAATGGAACTTAGAAAAATATAGACAAAACAGAGTTGCATAATCCATAATTTACCCATAGTACAAAGTGTATTCATAGACCAGAGGGGCAAACAAGGTAAGACAGCCAAGAAGTCAATTCATGTTCCTACCAGGGACCAGGAGGTGAAAAAGCAAGTGATGTGGTTTAGGAATCAGCCAGAGTGTGGGACATCATCAGGGAATCAATCAAGCCATTTAGGTTCAAGAGGTCCAAGAATGACCAATGTTCCTTCCCACACTGTACAGGGAATTTGATGCTGAAAGTTGCCAATTCACCCATACCTTTATCGAGCTACCTAGTGCTCAATGAACCTATTCTAAATAAGTAGCAGTTAAGGTGTATCCAATCAATACTGACTATCTCTACACTAAAACAGGTAAATGAATAATAACAATAACTTACAAAAAGGACAGTCAATGATATTAGAGGGAGGAGGAATATTCTTGGCCCTTTCTGGAATTGTTTTGCTGATGTTTTCAATATGGTTTGTTGTTTCTATTTTATTTATTATAGTTATAAGACTGTCCATCTGACAAGAAGCCACTCTGGGTGGCATACAGCAAAACAAGTCATAAAACAATAGTCATATTGTTATATATTAAACCTAGTCATATTAAACAAGTTAGAAAAAGAAGCACACACAAGAGATCTTACAGGTTCCCTGAAACCTCCAAGCATGATGACAAAGCCAAGTCTTGAGGGACTTCTGAAAAATAAGGGTATATGGAGCTGACCTCATTTCAAGGTAGAGAATGTTCCATAAGCAGAGAAGGTCCACCTCCTCAAGCCTGCCAAGTATAGTTCTCTGAGAGACAGGACATGCAGCATGGCTATCTTGCCAGATCTGATGGGGCAAACAAATGTAAAAGGGAAGAGATGGTCCCTCAAATAACCCAGCCCCATGCGACGAAGTGCTTTAAAGATAGAAACCAGCAACCTGAATGGGCTTGAATGGCTTAGAAGGAGACAGGCAACCAATGCATCTCACAGAACGGAGAAGTATCATGTGCTGTTTTAGAAGCACACATACCTTCCTGTGCTGCTGCATTTTGCACCAGTGGAAACTTCCAGATATTCTTCCATAGCAGCCCCACATACAGCACATTACAATAATCCACTCAGAAAGTGACTAGAGAATGAATAACTGTCAGCAGAGCCACAAGATCCAGGAACCTGTGTCACTGGTGCACAAATGAAACCGGGCAAATGTCTACTGTCATGTCTACTCCCACAACATTTACCTCTATAATTGTTCATTTTGACTTTTAATCTTTCTGTACTCTAATCAATGCCACCCTTGTGAGTTCAGCAATGTATTATTGACGCTGGATCCATGGCGGAGAGTTTTGAGCTTGTAGGAGATAATTCAGGCATTGTGCTGTGGCCCATACATATGTATATATATAATTTATAGGGCATCTGATTCCCTACAAGTCTGGGAGATCCTCTGCAACAAAGGACTTTATAGGTAAAACCAGTATCTTAAAAGGCATCTGGAAGCCAAACAGTAACTAGAGCAACTTGAAGAACAATGGTGTCACATGGCCATAACAAGAAATGTCCATCACTGTACCATTGTATTCTGGAGTACCTGCAGATTCTGAATAGTCTTCAAAAGCAGCCCCATAGAAAGCCTATTATAGCAATCAATTTGTGAGCTGACTAAGATGAATGACTAAAGTGCTTCTTGGTTCCAGGAACAAATGTAATTGGTGCAAAGGCACTCCTGACCACAGCTGCTACCCGCTCTTTGAGTGCAATGAACCCATACTGTAGGTGTAATGAGGTGCCATGAATCTATAAGTATTATCCAAATAGCACATCAGTCTTGAATAAGGAACTGCAATCCCATCCAAGACCAAAGACTGGAGATCCCAGAGCCAGGCCTCCAAAATATCCACAGCCACTCAATCATGTCAGGATTGAACCCGAGTCTATTCCTTCCCATCAGACCTGCACAGTCTTCAGATACTAGACTAGGACCTTGACAGCATCATTTTGTTGATCTGGGATTGAGATGTATAATTGGATATCATTAGATATCTTTCTCATATTTTCTATATTTTAGCCTGAATTCTTTCATAAGAATAGCCAACTCTGAACTGTAAGCAATTCTTCAAGGATTCCTCCCCCTCACACACACACTAATAGGATTTTTGAATAAACTATAGCACATTAGAAATCTTATTGTAGTGACTGGGCTATCATTTGGCTGCTCTCAGCAAACAGCTCTGCAGCTACCATCTGCTAGCAGAACAATTCTTGCTACTAAATTACTTATTGACAAATAATCCCTTCCCTTCCGGGGCACATTTTATTGCTTTTATTAATTATAGGAATGCTTTTCATTACAATGTTTTATTGCAACTTAATATTCTTATACACTGAAGCTATCTTTAGGGTTATTTTAAGAAGCAGTTTAGAAATAATTTACAAATAAATAAAATTCACTCCCTATAACTCCCTACATAAACATGTAGTTTAAAGGGATAGACCATGAACCACAGTCAGCATTTCAGCCAAAGCTGGATGAAACAGAACTTGTTTTATTCTGGTCTAAGCAAGCCAAACATTAAATGGCTTGAAATGTTTATTTTCGGATAGAAGAGAATCAGGAAAGAAG